TGTTACAGACGGCAGACAGACAGACAGACAGACGGACAGACACCACGAAAATATTTTGTATTTAGGTCATTTAGGACCCAAATAACTAATTTTGAGTGAAATTAAAAAAAAACTTTTTTTTGTCGATCCTATAGCCTACCTATTGGTATCAGGCTGCAGGTTAAATACAAGAACAAAATCAAGTAGAATTTGTGAATAAAAACTCAAAAAATAATGAAAATATTTAGAAAAAGGAACCGTAAACGTCAGTCAGCCAAGTGTCACAGTTCAATTAGATTTACCACACATTATCAATTTGAACGATTTGAACTACAGTCGATTCCAGTCTAGAGATTTTCGTTTTTAAAGCCTCCCATACTGAAGTCCGCCATATTGGGAAGTTTTAGGTGAAAACAAGTATATTAGACTTGGATCAAGGCAAATTAATAAAATTGCGTTTATCTCATCAATGAGGCCAAAATCGACAAAATATCAAGAGACAACTTTTAATCGGCATTAAATAGCTTACACTATTTTGCTGACAAGAGAAAAAATAGTCAGTGGCGTACATGCTTTTTTAGAAAAATATTCTAGTGATAACCCATATACACGTCGCTGGTGAATATGTCGACTTTTTAGCTTTGAAATATGTCGCATTTATAGTAACACCCTCAAAATTTCATTGGAATTGTTAAATTTACTTTGAAGAAAATTATAATAAATAAAAAAAATATTAACACTTTAACACCCTGTAGCTACAAAAAAAAGCAGAATCGGACCTATGTTGACATGAAAAATAAATCTTATTTTTACATGAGAAAATTGAAATATTATTTCAAACTTTATTTGAATAATTAAATACAATACATATATTTTTTAAATTTTAAAAATTTATGTACTGATAATTTTTATTAAAACGGTGATTCCACGTTCATTATTTGAATCATTCAAACTGCGTCAGCGAAAATGACAAGTGAGAACAGAAAAACCAAGTAAAAGCGTTTCTAGTGACATATCCTTACTGTTGTTCTTTCTGCGACAGAAATATTATTTAATTTAAAATAACTGTAGTGCGGTCCTGCCGAAAAATCCAAACGCTTTTAATGGGGCAGGTACCTCCACGACTTCTCTGACCCTTAAAGGCCAAAGGCTCTAGTCTAGGTCAAATCCCTTTCGAATAATTTGGCAATGATTGTGGAGAAAACAAATAGAGATACCAGACGTAATAGATACGTCTGTATTTGATGAAAGTGAAACAAGTAGATAATTTATTGCACTTTGTGCACGAAATAAGTACTCTACATCCGGCAACCTTGTATGACTGTGCTCATAATTACATTTGATTACTCTATTGTATTTGTTTAATTTGTTAATTTTTACTTGAGTTTTATAAAAATTTCAGAGGAAGTTTTTGAATTGTATTGTTATATACAGGGTGACAACGAAATCGTGGCACAGAGAGATACTTCAGAATGCTTTCTGATATAATTCATCCTCAAAGAATGCCTAGAGAAGCTGAACAAATTAGGCAATTTTTTTTTACGGAATGTATAAATGCTTACCGTACCCTGTACAAGTCGAAACGTCGCGTCATGTAAAATTTCAAAATTCAAGATGACATCCAGTCTAAGAAGATATTATGTATTATTTTATAACAATAGCTTGTTTAAATCCAAAAATTTTGTTTAATAAATGAAGCAAGTTCTATAAAATCCACGTTATATTGTTAGGATTTCCTTTATATAAATATAAGTATATCCCTTATATACTTATATATGCAAGGCAAGCTTTCCATCAGTCACTCCACAAAGGATTTATCTCCAGATTCTGTCGGTTTTAGACCCTATTCAAAAAAAAATGAAGCTTCTTTCCATTGGGCGTGGTTTTGAGGGAAGGAGATAGAGTGGAATTGATGATGCAAGCCTATTTTTTGTATAGTTCATTCATTCTTAGACCTGTACTCCTTTGAGATATATTTTTGTGTTCGGAGTTTTATCTATCCTTATAAAATAAATTAGGTACACAGTTTCTCTGTATACTACACAAGGTTTTTCAAAATATTATATCTATTTTAATCAATTTGCAAATCAATCATCAAATGAAAATAAAGCAGCAACAAAACCGCAGAGGCAAAATACACACACCGGAAAAGTCTAGGTATATTACAATTTTATCCAGCCATCGTCAGTAATTTTATTATTTGCATTTCTGATATAATAAAATTAAATAAACAAATAGTTTACAGGACGTATTGGAAATAAAAATGCGAAATTTACCGAATTTTTCAAATTTACCTTGATTTTTATTGAACTCAAAAAAATACACACATCTTTTTTATTCTAAACTGTGAATTAAAAAAAAATTATACTACTTAACTATTTTTACTTAATAAAGGATATGGCCTCCTCTACTGTTCATTATAGCCCTACATCGTCTCTCCATGCTCCTGATCAGGTTGTCGATCTCTTCTTGAGGTACAGCCTGCCACGCTGCATTCACGGCCCGAACCAGATCCCTACGAGTTTCACGAGGCATACCCATTTGCAAAATTCTTCTTTGGACCGCGTCCCATACGTGCTCGATGGGGTTGAGGTCAGGAGATTGTGCCAGCCAGGGTAAAAAATGTTTAATTGATGAGCATTGATAAACTCACTTACCACTCTGGTTGTATGAGGCTGTGCATTGTCATGCATGAGAATGAAGTTTCTCCCAAAATCATTGGCATATGGTAACACGACAGCCAAACCAAACCAAACCAAACCAAACTCAAAAAAATACACACATCTTTTTTATTCTAAACTGTGAATTAAAAAAAAAAGATAAAACCATTTTTACTTAATAAAGGATATGGCCTCCTCTACTGTTCATTACAGCCCTACATCGTCTCTCCATGCTCCTGATCAGGTTGTCGATCTCTTCTTGAGGTACAGCCTGCCACGCTGCATTCACGGCCCGAACCAGATCCCTACGAGTTTCACGAGGCATACCCATTCTCAAAATTCTTCTTTGGACCGCGTCCCATACGTGCTCGATGGGGTTGAGGTCAGGAGATTGTGCCGGCCAGGGTAAAAAATGTTTAATTGATGAGCATTGATAAACTCACTTACCACTCTGGTTGTATGAGGCTGTGCATTGTCATGCATGAGAATGAAGTTTCTCCCAAAATCATTGGCATATGGTAACACGACAGGCTCAAGAATTAAATCACGATATGTGATTCCTGTTAGAAATCTTTCAAGAAAAACGAGATCGGTTTTTCGGCCTAACTGGACTCCTCCCCAGACCATAACTGTTCCACCTTGATAAGGGTGCACTTCTGAACATGATCCAACCGAATAAGATTTCCCGGTTCTCTCCATACCCTAAGCCTTCTCGAATCGGATGAATTCCAAAGCGTGAATCATCCGTGAAGAGAACATTGGCCCATTGTTCATTCGGCCACTGAACATGATCTTGAGCCCACAAATATCGTATCTCTCGATTTCCTCTCGTTAAGGGTTGAGCTCTCCAGGAGCGTCTGCTTCTTAAGTTGACCTCTCTTAATCTATTGCGAACAGTGTCAGGACTAACGGTTACATTATGTGTTTCCTGGAGAATTAAACTAAGCTGTGGTGCTGTAAGAGTCGGTCGGCGTCGAGCATTTAATTGTAAAAAAAAATCTTGCTGAGGGGTAGTAATGCGATGTCGCCCTGTGTGCCTTTCAGCAACATCACCACTTTCACGGTAGCGTGCACTTAATCGCGATATTACACTTTGCGTTGTATTTAATGCTCTAGCTACGTCGATTTGGCGCATTCGGCGTCGAGCATTTAATTGTAAAAAATGATCTTGCTGAGGGGTAGTAATGCGATGTCGCCCTGTGTGCCTTTCAGCAACATCACCACTTTCACGGTAGAATGCACTTAATCGCGATATTACACTTTGCGTTGTATTTAATGCTCTAGCTACGTCGATTTGGCGCATTCCAGCTTCGAGCATACCCATGTCCCTTAACCTTTCGTCTCTGTTAAGATGTCTACGCTCCATAATGTTGTTTAATACTAAACAAAGTTATTTGAATGAATTCTGGCCAGTTATCATAACAACATAGCCAGTACAGGTTAAATTCGAACAATTGATGCTATGTGCTTTTTATACATTTGACAAAAAATGCACAAACACTTTTGCAAATATCCCAAATTTAGAAATAACTAGTGTGACTACTTCGTTTCAATCGAAGTAGAAAGAATCGACCTACAAATATGTGGTTGTTTATTCAAAACATTTATTTTTAACTTTAATAAAATGATATCCCTAGATTTTTCCGGTGTGTCTATAAAAAGAATATAGAAAAACGACAGACCTCGCACCTTACTCAAGTATCCTATACGTATATACATATACCTATACATCCTATAGTATATGTGTATTGAAATTGAAAATATATGACACAACATTTAAGTTTTGATTTGTTCCTATGTGATGTGAGTTAATCTCTCCCAATATAACAAATTAAGTACCTACTACACTATGTTTATGTTTATTTACATCTTTTCCAATATAATGATGTTTATTAAAAGGTAAAGTGACCTTCAGACGCGATAGCGATTCTATACAAATATTGTTGCATTCTGCAATAACAAATTCGTATTTCTGTTTTTGTTCGGAATATTCACCGACACCTTTTAAAAGTGAGCTAAATTCCTGCCTTCAGGGGATATTTTTTTCTCGGTTATTAGATACATTTTAACCCATAAATTCCATAGGTTAGTTTGTTTGGCTCACCCTAATGTAGGTAGTAGGTATTAAAGTAGTTAGCTTGTTTGCGGTTGTTCTTAGCAACCGCTATAGCAGCGCCCTACAACGTATGCGCTCCAAAATAATTACAAGTTTTGGCGGCAAGCCGACCATTTCAATGTAAACGTGTTTCCTGTATCTATGACCAAGATAATCTAAGCTTATAATATTAGGTAATTCAGTAAGAAGTACATAATATTTTACTTTACTTTCAAATACTTATTAAAGTTAATCGTCCAACTTACTTGATCGGTATCATTTCCTTGCCAGCTATCAGTGCCCTAAAAACAAAAAAATAATAATTAAAAAAAAGTTTTACACATTATGTTTATTATTTGTCAGTGTTAGTTACTTGAAATTGACATAATATACTAATTTTTAATATTATTAGGGAAAACTAACTAGTACATTATTATTAAACGAGTTTGCTTTAAAACTTCTGCTGAAGTTCTAAAGTTTACTCTAAGTCTGATTATGCTCTGTTAAATTTAAGACAAACTTCCGGAGGTTATTAAATTTACAATGGTGCGCTATGTGTAATATTAAACTAAAAATTTGTTAAAAATCACTAAAATTTTTATAGTTTAACAGTTTTTTTCCCGTAAAAGATTCAGAAAAGAAAAACTCTTTGGAACGTAATATGCTTTGCCTATTTCTCGGCATATCTACACCTTTTATAAATGGATGAAAATATGGTTCATATCAAATAAACTTTTAGTTACGTCATCGAGGGCACGATTTTTAAATTAAGCTATTAAGTATACATTTCAGCTATACTCTGTATATTTTTTCTCATGTAAGATTTCGATAGACGATGACGTCCCATACCAATATATTTATTTTATTAAAAAAAGTTTCTAATATTTTTTAAGGTAACTATGGATGGGTTTAAATATAAATCCGTCATGCGTCGTCTCTTGTTATTTTTAACCAGTTTTATTTCAAAAATGACAGATCATATTTCAATTTTAGTGGTTTGACGGAACGATGAACGACAAACGGACGCCGATGCGTATGAACTCGCCTTTAGATTTTTGAGGCTTGCCAAAGTCTTGCCAAATTATAGGTTATAATTTTGTGTCAACTTATGTCAAATATCTGCGTTTTGGAACATGATGCATTTTGATTTGTGTTATTACGTGTGTTTTAGAGAGCACAGTTTATAGTTAATACTCGCTGGCGAGGCAGAAAGTCTTATACACTAATGTCAAAAGGTACTGGTTAAAAAAAAATAAGATTAAAGTTAATTAATCAACCTTTAAGCTATAAGATTTGGTAAGTGTTATTATTAATAAAATAGAAGTTTTTTATATATGTTGTTTTATCTATTCCTGTGGAATATTACAAATTTGTATTTGTACATAAGTTATATTGAAAAATATAATAATAAATGCGGAAAATTTCTTGAAGCTTGAAAGTAAGAAATCGTTCTTTTTTATATTTTTTTCGTATGTAGTGTTTTGTTTTTGTTTGTTTTGTATTAACACATACCGTTTTTTTTAATAAAATAACTCGATTACATTTTTTCAGTTTATACAGTTTTTTTACAATATTTTGAAGTAATCACTTATCAGTCAAATTTTAATATATTAATTTCCTGCTATGCGTTCCAGTTGTACCAATTTATTTCTTTTGTTTCTAAAATAAAATAAACTACTTTGAAATTAAAATGACAGACACATCGAATATCGATCAGTGTCAAGGATCTTGTCGTTGGACAGACTATATTAATTCATGGCCTTAGGTGAATAAACAAGTGGCACTAAAAAGTTTTTTAAAATTTCCCGAAAAATGTCAAGAAAAATTACAAATTTTCAACATTTTTTTTTTCACAAAAAAAACATCATAGGCGTTTTTCTGGGGTTGAACTATACTACCAGTTAAAATATTTGCACTTATTTCTGGGACACCCTGTATAGTTCTTTAAGATCTGAAAAATAAAAAAAATTAACAATTTTTTTTCGCAAAAAAAAACTCATACGCGTGTTTCTACGGCCGAGATATACTACCAGTTAAAATATTTGCACTTATCTCTGGGAGACCCTGTATAAAAAAATTAAAAAAAAAAAACTTTAAAGCTCTATAATATAACTTTTAAGCTTGTGGTAAATATTTATTTAATAAACTTTGGCTAAGTGTTTCTTTCTAAAATTGATTCGTTCTAAATTTTCCAATTAGGTTAGGAAGTAAATTTTAAAATAAACAAATTTCGAAAAGTTACGCGTTTCATTCTCATTTTTGTTGTGTTTCTTTACTTTTGCACCGGGATAGCAGATGTTTTCCTTCCAACTTTCCTTCGCTTTGCCAAAGTTGGCCGGGAAAACTCTTTTAATTGCACTTTTCATTTATATTGTAATTTGCTGGCGTCGCTCTCGTTCAAAATAAATTTATAATGGAAGTTGCTATCGAACTCTTCTTCGTTTTTTAGCTTTCTTCTTGTTGCAACTATGTTCGTTCGGGAGGAACGAATTATAAAGTTATAACGGCTAATAGAGCAATTAAACTTGTTAAAAAGTTATAATTATAAAATAAGGCCGGGTTTTATTAATTTTTAAGTATGATTTTCGCACTACGTTAGAAAGCAAGTAAGCAAGCAAATAGGCCCAAGATTGGCTACTTAAAGGAAATAATTATTCCAATGTCAATTTGCTTGCTGACTTGCTTGCTGATTTGCTTGCTGATTTGCCCGAGCACCCGAGCACCCACGCAGTCGGCGCCCCTGGCTCTGACATAAACAAGCCTTTTTGTATACTTATCCTCTCTGTCAACTAATCCTGCTGTGTGAACAACAATAACTTTTTCACCCTTTCCCAATAATCTCGTTAGAGTTGATGGTTTTCATCTCGAAAAAAGATTCTTTTTTCGACCAGACTGTTGAGTTTTTAATTAAGCTACTAAATAGCCCTTTTTAATTCCGCTGTTTCGGAGAGAGTTTTTTCCCGAAAATTTAGACCTTCAGGACATAAATCATTTTTGTGTTAAAATTGGAATATGATAGGAGGAACTTTAAGCTTGAGGGATTTACCCTAAAATAGCATACAGGGTGCTTCTGTTTTTTATAGAGTAAAAAAGTGATGTATCAAGGATCAAGGGAATTATAAGGGTATTAAATAGGTACCGAGAGTGATACCCAGGATGATTCGGCTTATAACACTGTAAAGGTGCCGTTACATGGCGCGTGGATCGCCGAGCCAGAAACAAAAAATACGCGCCACACGCCGTGTGATTGGGTCGACGCGCCGATCTTCGGTCGGCGCGTCCTTCCCCTCAACTGGCGGTAAATTTCAAAGTAAACGCGCCGTGCAAGGTCTTCCCCAGTAATTCTTTTAAATTCAGTTAATTTTATTTGTTACATAATTTATTTAAATAACTCCATTTAATGCAAACATACATAATTTGATATTAGCTTAAAAAATCTATAAATATCATATTAATTAGGTATAAAAATTACTGATAAATACAGGGTATACCAATATAATCTACCATGTTATTGTTTAAAATTATTATTTATTCTAAATGCTGTATAAAGGATATACTCGTATATATAGATATAGTTTATTTTAGTTCTAAGTATAATAATATAAGTTACATATCCGAATACATATTACTAGAAGGGTGAGAAGCACTATATACATTTTGCTGAGGTGATTTATGTATGTGTAATAATTGTATTTGATACTTAATTTATACTCCTAAATTTTACAGCAGCTATAGAAATATTAATTCATAAAGTTTTGTGCAATTATGCTATTTAAAATTTGTATAGCTTTACTAATTTATTGGCGGTAATTTGAGCGGTGGTAATTGCCGATGATTATAACAATATATTATAGGTACCAATTTACCCCTCAGTGCGATTAGTTCAATCACAAATGAACTGATTTATAGCCGGCCAGATATTAACAGGTACTACAAAAAATTGTTTACTTTGAACACAGTAGGTATGTGATACATTTGATTATGTAACCTACCATATCTATCGAAAAACGGAGATTCGAAGAATAATTGATATTTTACATATTTCGAAACAATATGTTTTGGTCGAACGAGACTATATCTGAGTTTTTACCCCTATATAAAAAAGAACAAATAACTTGGAACCCCAAAAATAATGCACATAAAAATAGAAATGAAATACAGGACGGCTGCCTAAGAATACATCAAAAGTTGAGTATCAATAATTATTGCACCATGAACGAATTAAAAAATTAATTAATTAAAGAATTATAAAAGAAGAAGAGTTGTATATTATTTTTTTATATTATTTGCCTTGTTCTGAAAATATGATATACTCTAAAATTATATTTTTATAAATAAGGCAAAAAAATATTATTTAACTTTTGAACATAAATAACCCTAGTTAAGAAAAGTATTATTATCTTATTTAATTTAATTTAACCAGATGATTTTGCTTTCCATCTTGTTATCTTAATAAACTGCACTGAAAATAAAGTTGCGGAATAATTGTATGAATTTTACGTAAGCGCTTTGATTGTATGAATTTAAACCCAATTTAAACAGAGAGTCTATGTTAAAAAGTTATATAATGTATTTTTTGTTCTCTGTCTCTCGGTCGGCCGTAGATCGCAAGTGCGAAAATACGCACTGGCGCGTCCGGCTCGGCGATTCGCGCGCCAGGCGCGTGGATCGGCAAGCCACACGCCGTGTAATGGCACCTTAAGGCTGATACAAGGCTGATAATATTTTAGATAGACGGATTAGGTGCTTTTATGTAAAAATCCAAATTTTTCAAAAAAATTCTATCACTGGTTCTCCGTAAATGTCTAACGTACCATCGCCGTTAAACACCCTATACAGGGAGTCCCAGAAATAAGTGCAGATATTTTAACTGGTGGTATATTTCAGCTTCGGCCCAGAAACAAGCCTGAGGGTTTTTTTGCGAAAAAAAATTGTTAAAAATTTTATATTCTTCCTTGACATCCACTTGAATTTTGTTCTTGATCAGCTGTTCATACTTAGATGTTTGGTCAGATTCTGTATTCACATTTTGCCGGTTATTTTAGTCATTTTTTATTATTGTGGTGCAAAAAACTAATTATTTTCGTGCTTAAATGACATAAACTACTACCATATACATATATGGTCACTCTGTCTCTCAAAAGTGCCCATAAGTTTTTTATTTATCATGATTTATGTGTTTTTTTACGACTCTAACAATTCATCAGTTTTTGGTGCCATGCCTCATCTTCATTTTGTTCCTGGTTGCAAAGATAATTATACTAGGCAGCCTAAAGTGTCCGGAAGAGCAAGAAAAGTGGGC